TAAAACCTCATTTTATAAATGATTCCCCAAAATGATTTATATCTCAAAAAAATACTCTATTACAGAGACAATTCATGGGCTAGGTGGCATGGTGTGAAAAAGCTTCTGAAGGGTGGCAGATGAGAAAATATAATTAAAAATTTATTTTCACCCCCAAGGAAATGATTCCCCAAAATGAGTTGTACCTCAAAAAAATACTCTGTTATAGAAACAATTTACAGGCTAGGTGGCATGGTGCGAGAAAGCTTCTGAAAGGCTGGCAGATAAAATATATGTTTAAAATTCATTTCACCCCCAAGGAAATGATTCCCCAAAATCAGTTTCAAAAAAATACTCTATTATAGAGACAATTTATAGGCTAGGTGGCATGGTGTGAGAAAGTTCTGAAAGGCTGGCAGATAAAAAATATGTTTATAAATTCATTTTCACCCCCAAGGAAATGATTCCCCAAAATCAGTTGTACCTCAAAAAATACCTACTATAGAGACAATTTATAGGCTAGGTGGCATGGTGTGAGAAAGCTTCTGAAAGGCTGGCAGATAAAAAATATGTTTATAATTCATTTTCACCCCCAAGGAAATGATTCCCCAAAATCAGTTGTACCTCAAAAAAATACTCTATTATAGAGACAATTTATAGGCTAGGTGGCATGGTGTGAGAAAGCTTCTGAAAGGCTGGCAGATAAAAAAATATGTTTATAAATCATTTTCACCACCCCAAGGACATGATTCCCCAAAATCTGGTGTACCTCAAAACAATACTCTATTATAGAGACAATTTTAGGCTAGTGGCATGGTGTGAGAAAGCTTCTGAAAGGCTGGCAGGTAAAAAAAAATATGTTTATAAATTCATTTTCACCCCCAAGGGAAATGATTCCCCAAAATCAGTTGTAACTCAAAAAAATACCCTACTATAGAGACAATTTATAGGCTAGGTGGCAATGGTGTGAGAAAGCTTCTGAAAGGCTGGCAGATAAAAATATGTTTATAAGTTCATTTTCACCCCAAGGAAATGATTCCCCAAAATCAGTTGTACCTCCAAAAATACTCTAATATAGAGACAATTTATAGGCTCCGGTGGCAATGGTGTGAGAAAGCTTATGAAAGGCTGGCAGATAAAAAAATATGTTTAATAAATCATTTTCACCTCCAAGGAAATGATTCCCCAAAATCAGTTTCAAAAAAATACTCTATTATAGAGACAATTTATAGGCTAGGTGGCATGGTGTGAGAAAGCTTCTGAAAGGCTGGCAGATAAAAAATATGTTTATAAATTCATTTTCACCCCCAGGAAATGATTCCCCAAAATCAGTTGTGCCTCAAAAAAATACTCTATTATAGAGACAATTTATAGGCTAGGTGGCATGGGTGTGAGAAGCTTCTGAAAGGCTGGCAGATAAAAAAATTTGTTTATAAATTCATTTTCACCCCCAAGGAATGATTCCCCAAAATCATTGTACCTCAAAAAATACTCTATTATAGAGACAATTTTAAGGCTAGGTGGCATGGTGTGGTAGAGCTTCTGAAAGGCTGGCAGATAAAAAAATGTTTATAACTTCATTTCCTCCCCATAATCTCCTGTTATGACACTGTGTGACTATTTTCAGTTCGGTAAACTAGATCTGGCCATGAAGGGTAGCGGTAGGTATTCTGACGTAGAAGCCATCCAAAAGGCGTCGACGACCATTTTGAAGGTCAATGATCTAAATCATCATTCAAAAATCGTTTGGTCTGTGCAAATCGCTGTATTAACTTTGAGTAAATAAATTGGATTTTCCAAAACAAAAAATGTTTTGTCCATTTTTTTATTTGTCCAACAGACTTGTAGACAACAATAAAAATAAATTTGTCTGCAATCTAATAGTTGAGCCTCCACATATAGAGAATGACTTGGATAAGTAACCTCCTTACGAAGAATCAACTTTAGAACCAATTTTTGGTTAACATCAACCTTTTTGTAATATTATTCATAACTCCCCCAAGTCAAAATTTAGTAGAGTAGAGGGTAAACCAGAGCATTGTATATCCAGCAGAATATCTCTGAAGTATTGAATTTTGGAATAATACATCTCAGACTCTTCACCAGGCACTCTGTATGGGCATTCTACTTCAAGTGTTTGTCCAAAATTACGCCCAAGTATTTTATTGTATCGGTTGACTGAATCCGTTTAAGACCACTGCTTGTATGAAATTCAGGGTTACTAAATTGTGGTTGAGAGCTTATCGTCACAAGAAAATGATGCTATATGTTATATGCAGTGTGTTTTTTGTAATTAATTGTCATAGTTCTTTCCGGAAAGACATTTTATAGATGATAGTTGTATCATCCATAACACCGATAACTTTACCCGCACTATTTTGAACAAATCGTTGAAAAATACATTGAATAAAATGGGACCTAAGACTGAACCTTACGATACGATATGGTGTTCACTAAATGTATTGTTAATTTTGACCCACTCTCTTCGATTTGACAAATAATTATTTCACGGAAACCTACATTTTCTAAAGTTGTTAAAAGCGATTTATCAGTGATAGACTCGAATACCTTTGCCAAGTCAACAAAAACACGCAGTTAATTTGACAATATCGAGATACGCATATGTTACTTGTTAATTCTACAATAGCATCTTGAGTAGATTTGCCTTCTTGAAAACCATATTGCTGTTTCGCAATTAATTTATAATTTTTTTGCAAATTCGGTGAATCGCTTTTTAACATTTTTTCAAATATTTTAGAAAATTGCATAAGATGGAAATTGGTCGGTTATTTCGACGAGTCATCAGTAGCCTCTTCGAAGTTAAAGGTTAAATAATGCCATGTCACATATTATTTATCATAATTCTATATAATTTTTTATTTTCAGCAAAAATATGGGGAGAAGAAAGCCTTCCTATAGTATTGACGGTACATGGCCGAATGGACAACGCTGGAGCCTTTGACAACTTAATACCGCTATTACCTGATAAATTTCGTTACGTTTGCATAGATTTACCAGGACATGGCAAATCTTCACATTTTCCACCTCATCTACCTCTGCATACGCTCAACTTTCTACTGGTCTATAGGATTATGAGCAAGTACTTTGATGAAAAAAGCTTTATTCTATTAGGTGAGTTGATATAATACCGAAAAGACGATATAGTTTCGTATCTTATTTCCACCATTCTTGTTTATTCCCACATACATGCGGGTGTTCCATGTAGAACTGCAACGAAAGATTATTCAAAAAGTAGGTTTGGTTAGGTTTCTTGTGAGTGCAATAATAACGATCCCCCACTGCGACTCTTTGGTCTATTGTGGCTTACACCTATTTATATTTCCTCAGTAGCTCCGACCTCCTGAGGAAGTCGATCAATTTCTTTGGAGAAATATCCTTCAGGTCTCCTTCATCTCCCTCCATGCACAGTCTGCACTCAGCGTCTTCCGCCAAGCCCAGCCTGCTCATGTGGTGACGCAATTTGCAATGACCAGTATACATTCCTACTAGAGCTTTGATGCTATTCCTGTTCAGCCGTAGCAAAGAGTCTGTTACCTTTTTTGTCAAGATTGGTATAGTTGCCTTAGTATGGGTTAACCCTGCTAATCCCTCCCAGTATTGATGGATCTTTCTGTCCATCTCTGCAGAGATTATTTGTTCAGCTGTATTGTATGCGATCCCAATCGCTGGCTCTATGAAGGGTGTGCTAGCTCCACTCTTTGTCAGAGTGTCAGCTGTCTTGTTTCCCTCTAGACCTGTGTGTCTTGGTATCCATATGAGACGGACTTCAATTTCCCTCCCCTATGCCACCGAGAGCTTCTTTGCAATTCCACACTAATTTCGATGCCGAGTAGGTGGAGTCAAGTGTTTTATGTGCGGATTGACTATCTGAAAAGATAATTATAGTCTCAGTTGTCGTTCTGCGATTATTTTGGCACCCAGTCCTATAGCATATAGCTCTGCCTGGAAGGTCGATGCCTAGGTTCCTAGGTTAACAGATTTTTTAATCTTTAGCTTCGGCACGAAGATAGAAGCTCCAACACCTACCTCGGTCTTGGAGCCATCTGTGTATGCACAGATATATTTCCTTATCATGTTAACCTGCTGTTTCAATTCATTCCTGTGTGGAATTATCACTGATTAGGGTTTAGCATATCTTGTTATCTTTGGCATTATATCAGAAGGCATTCCCAGTCTGTGGTGGTTTTGTACGTCCACCAGCATGTTCGTCTGCTCCATAGTGATATTGTCTATTATACCATTTGCCACATGATGTAGTCTATAAGATGTCCTTCTTGATTCGCCTTCCAGGTATATGTGCAGGGAGGTTAAAAAATTAAGCAGGACCTCCATAGCTGCAGTTGGTGTGGTATGAAAGGCACCAGTGATCAGCATACAAGCTTTTCTCTGTATTGCGCTCAGTTTGGCTTGGACAGCTCTTTGTGCTGCCTTGCCCCACCAAGCTACAGATCCATAGGTTATCATATGTCTAATAACCATGGCATAAATCCGCTGGAGTGTTCCCGAGATATGTTCCCCAGATTTCATTCTGACTAGAACGACTAGATCGGAACCACGAAAGGGCATATCACCCCTTCCTGTGGTCATCTCCTGCCAGCTCTAAATCTCTGTCTCCCCCTGTAAGGATGTCGTTATGATTCTGCATGTCAACATGCTGCTGATCCAGCCGCAGATCAGGGATTCACACCCTTGGAGGCGATTGATTCATAGAGGGATTCTAGTAAGGCATTGTTAAATGTCTATGTCCAAAAAGGCCGAAATGGCAATTTCCTTGTTTTCCAAGGACACTTTGATGCTCGCAACCAAGTTGTTAAGAGTTGTTGATTTACCAGCCTGATAGGCATATTGATGCACACTTAGAAGACGCCTCTCCAGAGCCCCCCCCTTCATCATCAATAGCTTTTCAATGCCTTTCAGGAGAAATGAAGTTAGACTAATTGATCTGAGTGACTTCGCCACTGGATCTGTCCGTCTAGGTTTGGGTATATAGACTACCCTTGTCACCTTCCAGCCATGTGGTATGTGATTCAACCCTAGGCTAGCTCTGTAGAGTGCTATGAGGAATGGCTTTAATATATCGAGTCCAACTTGTAGTAGAGCTGGATACATGATTTTATCGCTCCTTTAACCGTAACAGGTGTTAATATGGTTCTGACAACCTGCCAGTCTGCCCTGTGGGGTTGTTTATCCATCCAATTCTCCGGGCATTGGCCAGCTAAGTCATCAGATGTTGCACTTTCAGGAAAGTAGTTTTGCGCAAGGATCTCCAAGGTAAGACAGCTATAAACATTTGAATTGACAGTGTAACTGGCGGGAGCAATTCGGCATCTTGGTTGTTTTAAACAGAACATCCTGTAAATAATTCAATATGCAAGATTCGAAATGCGTTTCATCATTGATCAATCTATTCCACCAGGTAGAGTTCGTTAATCAATGCCTACATTTAAGTCAAATTGCTTTTGAGATTTTTCAAATTTTGATTAAGAAATGACAAATGCAGGCCAATTAATTTCTTCTCGTATTTTTATCATTTGTAATTGGTTCCTTATAGTATGGGAGCTACTTTAGTAGATTTTATTCTGGACTTGGATATCACATAGCACAGGGTGGTTAAAAAATAGAATACAAAAATCCGAGAAGTAAACTTTGAACATGGAAACCATCTTATATTTATCGTATTAAGCAAAAAGTGAGATTAATTTTGTATAAGGTTGTCTATACAAATTAATAGTTTCCGAAGCCTATGGAAAAATTATAATGAACAACATGATGGTATGATTAGAATTTCAACATGACGTTTCGTCTCTTGCCCTCAGCAATTTTATTTCATTTTTTCTTCTAGATGCCATGTTTAATTTTTTCATAGGTGAATAGAGTTTTTTATTCTGATTCTAAGAATGTACAATATGTCATGAACTGACATTGCCAAACCTCAATTGTTTCCAAAAAACATAATTTCCTAAGTAGGCCTCAAAATTGTCAGATAGTCATTTGCCTCGTAATATGATCAGCCAAGCAAGCATTTTTCAGTTTGAACGACCTACGTGTAGGTTTTAATGATGTGATGTTGTACATGTCTTAACACGGATTAATATTTTAAAACCTCAAATATCTGGAAAAGTAATATTCCTAAAGTTGGTCTTGATTCATCAAATAAAGAACAACCTAATGGTAAAACCTGATTGTATTATTTAAGGATCGTATTGAAAACAATAGGAAGAGTACTATTTTATGTAACTAATGGAATCATGTTGTAGTAAATAAAAGTTCCCTAAACACATTTTATATCTGCCATATTTAAATCGATGCACACATATTGTAGGTATTCAAAAAATAGTACTAATCTACGGCCGAGATGTTATGTAGAGCGTCTCCATCGTGCTAATACAATGCTCGTTATATTCGATCAATTCTCGAATTACCTCAATTTTCTTTATAACGCTATTCAAACACTGATGCATTGGTGATTTAATCGGATAAACATGTGATAAAATGTTATTTTCAAAGCTAACTATGAGTATATCAGTTTTTTTGAAATAAACTTAGATTTGACTAAGTCAATCTATACATATAACTTTTTGAGTAATCGATCGCTGCAGTTCTACGTATTCTTTAATCATGAAAATTATGGTATCACATGAGAAATCGATTATCTTAAACTATTTGTAAGAACGTAAGATAACGTTAGATAACATTGTGTCATCGACATAACGAAAATACATTTTTGTATTTACATGTCGATTTCTTCAGACAGACTTGTAATGTCACGTATTCCTGTTAAGGGGTGATAGATTAGGTCAAAAGCAACCGATTTTGTCCTATAATGTCCTATCCAGAAGTTAACCGTATTTGAGTTATTTGAATTTTTTTTTATTTTTATTCCGATTTCAGACGGTTAAATTTGAATACGGTCTTATTTTTCGGGGGTTTAAAGCTTCTTTATCAGCCCAGTAATGAGCATTATGGTAGTTAGTGATCCCGTCCTTATCAAACTTCGATTCATCGGTCCACAGAATTTTCTTAAAATAGTCTGAATCTTCTGTATCTGCATGTAACATGTACCTGCAGAAATCTAATCGTCTTGCAGGATCGCCCTCTTCAATCACATGCACAGGCGTGTAGTGATAAGGGTATAATCTTGAAGTATGCACAGTAAACCATACTTTGTATTGTGATATACCCAACTGAGCAGCCACAATGCGCGTAGACGTAGTCGGGTCTTCCTGAAACACACGAAGGATTTCCTCTTCATCTTCAGGAGGATAGAGTCGGGGTCGACCAGCATCACTATGTTGCCTTTGAACACGTCCGGTTTGGCGGATGCGCCGATACACAGAGTCAAACACAGTAACATGAGGTGTTCGGCGATTCGGGAAACGTTGCCGATATTCACGGCGGGCAGCTGCAGAATCGCCGTAACAAAGTCCATAACAGAACATTATGTCTACGTATTCTTCATTTGTAAAAGTTTGCCCGTGCTCACTATGGCGAGGACCTGGCGGATCTTCTGCATCTGCCATGATGATAAAGAAACCACTCGAAATGAACTGGGAAACTCGAAACTAAACCTAATTCTCACTCGGCGTGCGGCGATGGCGTAACTACAATGATGAATAATAACAGCTCTCTCTCTCTCTCACTCCTCCACTAAGTCAGCTCTTCTTGCTCGCTTCCTCGTCGAGCCGATGCCATAAAACAATCATGGCATGCGAGTCCTTTGAGGACAGTAACGACTTGTTCAAACAGGTAATACAAATTCCTTAAAAATCCAGCCTCTGTGGGTGTCATTGTTGTTTCTCTGCATGTACTTCAGATAATTGAACGCTTAATACCTCAAATGAAAGCTTGTTAGATAGAGATATTATTTACATAATTTGAACATTTCATTACTAGGAGATTTTTTACAGAAAATTGCATTTTTTATCGAATAAGTTAGTAAAAAAAAGAAAATGATACGAAAGCGTGATTTTAAAACGTTTGTAGCTTTTCAACATTTTATTACTTATTATAAACTATAAGAATGTCTGCTTTGCGACGATAACAAAAAACTCAAAATCAAGCATGCAGTTTTTTTGTATTTCAATTTTAACCGTCTGAAATCGGAATAAATAAAAAACTTAAATTCAAATAACTCAAAAATGGTTAACTTTTGGATAAGACATGATAGGACAAAATCGGTTGCTTTTGACCTAATCTATCACCCCTGAACAGGAATACGTGACATTACAAGTCACCCTATCAAAGCAAACAAAATTAGACTCAAGGAAAACGATAATCATCACATCGCCGTAGTTTTACTCCTTATCTTTTAGAACACAATAATTCCAGCTAATCTAACAATTGAATAACATAATAGCAAAAATTTTCTTATAATGACATTCTACAAAAATGGATGCATAGGAAGTACCATGTCTATCTACATGTATAATTTTTGAAATATCCTGGATCACTGCTATTCTTAAAAGTTTTTGACATGGAATTTGGATTCTCAAAAACTAAACATTTATTTTTTCCACCGGTAAATTGTATCTACATTATGATTTCCAATCTCTTCTTTAGGTCACAGTTATGGTGCACAATTAGGCATTCTTTTCTCAAGAATGTATCCACATTTAGTAGAAAAATTTATAATGATTGAAGGAATACATGCCTACCCGATTAAAGCAGATGACTACATAATACATATGCTAAAAATATTTCAAGATCACTTTAGTGTTCATGATAAACTGGCAACAGGAAAGCAACCGAAATATAAATATGAAGAAGCCTTTAACAAAGTTAAATGCAACAGGGATAACGGACCGCCCATATCTGATAAAGCTACAGAAGTTTTGTTGAAACGTGGGTTACGGAAAGTAGGTAAGTTTATGTCACTTGTCATTTCGATTGTCATTAACGTGCAGGCAAAAAGGTTCATAAAAACAGGTACTGCTACACAAGCTATTATAATTATGTCCACTGAGAGGAAAATTGTGCCTTTTTGAAGAAGAAAAAACAGCTTATGTTTACACGTTGTGTCAAGGGACTGTTACTTTCAAATCAGAGTCCATTTTAAACAATTGGAGTCTCATCTGAAAGTCCGGCAGGGATATTGTGAATCTTGAAAAGTGACATTATGTAGGTTTTCCTATAAGATGTTAACTTGGAACTAGCTGTTGTTCACTTGATGCGCACTCGTCGTGTTGCCTAAACGTCATGAGAGGCTTGAGCTATTATGGTTTGGCTCTGATGTGATGTAAAATCTGCTTCAGAAATGGCAATATTGGAGTTCTGAGCTGTAAGCTGTATACTATAGCTGGAAATAAACGCGCAAAACGACAGTGCATAGCGGCTCCTTGGTTTCTTGTCTCAAATACAGTTACTTGAAATGTATGCAAAGCTAGAAATTAGTTGAGCCTCCACTTTTTCTTATTTATCCTGGAAATTACATATGAAAATTTGCTACATTTCAAAAATGAGAGAGATAAAAAACCGTGGTTGGTGAAGACAGGAATATTTTGGAAACGTGAAAGGGCTATTATATTTTACATTATTTTTTATTTCCAGTCATTAAAATTTCATAGAATGGGATGTCAAGTAGAACATACAAATCAGCGCCTAGATGTGAGGACTGCGAAAATGTTTAGTGTGTGATGCGTCATTCCTAATTTTTCTGTGATGTGGTTTGATTACACTTAAAGCGGGCGCGGAGGTGATTTCCTGCAAAGCTTCTAAAATTTTTTCAAACCGGAGAAAGTCATAATTTATAACTTTGAACATAAACTCTTTTCAGAAAGGACAACACATAAATATTCATATTCAGTAATAATTTTCTCTCATAGCAAATATTACTGATTTTATACATATACAGACTAATGCACACAATCATCCAGATGCGATCTTGCTACTCTGCTACTCAACCAATTTTATCTCTGCCACATCATCTCAGATATAAAACTGTACATACTATTCCGGCATTCTGCAACCAACAAAGCATGCTGGCGAATTGCTTTCAGCAGGGCCGTTGATCATGTCGTTGAGTCATTCGTCCAAAGGTGGCGCTAACAGCAAGCAAACGCGGAATAAACTATTTGCAAACCAGCAGCTATCTAATCAGCAAGTTGACATTTTGTCGTTTTTTTGACATTACATAGGCTATTTACGTCATAACTCGGCATGAGATTCCTCCTTTTGTCCATATCATTTCGTAGCTCCTAATAAATCCACGTTTGGCAAATGGGGGTACTCAAAAACGCATTTATTTATGTTAATGGTTCGTATGATTGAAATGTATTGTTCCAAGGGACGACCAATACATATTCACATTAGACCAAATAACGATCCGCTTCATGACTTCAAAATAACTTGAATAGTTCGTAAAAATATAGGCCGTAATACGCTATGTTGCCAGAGTAACTTGTATTTATGAACTTGTATGTATATGTATATTTTTATAGGTTATATCACACATTGGCGGGATCATTTCTTAAATCGGGCTAATAAATTCACCTGTGGCAAATGGGATACTCCAAAACGCATTACTTTATTTATGTTAACACTCAATGTTCAAAGAGAACAAACAACATGAGTAAATAAATATAAAACGGTTCGTATGATTGAATTGTTCCAGGGGACGACCAATACATATTTACATTAGACCAAAGAATGAAGTATTACATTGATCCGCTTCATGACTGCAACTTTGCAGTACACAGTTTGAAAAAGCACCCACTGCAGTGTCCAACATTGATGATTTTAGCCAAAGGAAACGATTATACCACCAAATTGTTCACACCCGTGCTGAACGAACTGAAGAAACGAGACAACTTCAAGTATTTTGAAGTGGAGGGATATCACGATGTTCACAATGTACATCCGGAGAGAGTAGCACCATTTATTCAAGAGTTTTTAACTTCTAAAGGTAAACTGGAGCCGGAGTTGGATAATTTCGATAGCGGAAAATCTCTTCTGGTGAATTGTTCCATATCTTGACACTCCAGAAACAAACGAACAGTCATAATGACAGTTCTGAATGTACTACATCGGTAACTTTGCACTAATTCTAAATACTTTCAATAGCTTTTTTATTTTTTGATTCTTTCGACCACTTCTCATACACGAGTATATAATTTGACCAAAGAGAATGTAATTAGAGAAACCGAATAAAATTAGAGGGAAACTAATTTAAACCGACAGAACGACTCTGTTGTTATTTGGGAAGAGATGGGTGCGGTGTTGCCGGATAGCTAATTCATTTTGGATACATTTATTGTACATCATGTTACAAAAGATTAAGCATTTTTTGTTCGAATTTGCTTATATTTAGGGTTTTATTCATGATGGGGATATTTATCTACCAAATATATTTCACATTTAATGTGCACGCTGCACGTTGGAAAATAAGTGCATTGACAAAAAATACAAGGCAAATAATATCCTAATGATTGTTTCATGTTCATCCGTGGATCCCATAGTAAATAGTATGCTTATAAGCTTGATTAGTTACTAAATATGGCACTGATATTTTATCAAATGAGATCTTTAAGATTATGCAGAGTCAAATATGTTTCAAGGGTCTGCATTATATTTTCGGAAATTAAATGTACTGAAGTTTGCTCATAAATGTCTCTTTTTTTGTTGCAAAATGTGATAATAAAGGCAACCAGAAATGTAGTTCCAAACTAATTAAAGCGAAAAGGTCAATGAGGGTAACAAACTAATGTGTACACCGTCTCTGTGATATGACGCCATACTCAGCGGAATGTTTTTTTCAGGTTACGCAGAAACACTTGGCAGCAACACATTCAGAAAATTAGCTGCAGCTGCTTCAAGGTTTACAAGATTTTTATAAAGATAAGATCGATAGTGTTCATTTTTATTTACAACTACCTTTAAAAACCTTTAACATTAAATAATAAAGTATAGTCTTAAGAGTTATATACAAAGTATTTTTGTACAACTAGTGGAGTACATGAGAGTTTTAACCTCGGAATACAGTTACACTGAATGAAATTGAAAATAAATACGTGCAGTTAGTAAGATTTTAAAAAATCGGGTTACCATAATAATTCAAAAAACCAATTGCAATATCTCTAAAATAGAAGATATATTGAGAAATAATTTGAATAGTTCGTAAAAATACGCTCTATTGCCAGATTCATGGCGTTAAAGTTGTATTTCCGAACCTGTATTTATACGAATATTTTTTATAGGTTATTAAATCGCATATTGACGGGTCATATCTTAAATCGGGCTCATTTTTTTTGTCTGGAATGTATCCATGGAGGCATGAGCTCTGTAATATTAATGGTACTAGGACGGACGGTTTGGAGTGGAGTCGCGCTCAAAGTTTAAAGGTTTGGTAAAAAAGTATTTTATGATAAATATATCATTGATCACGTTGTTTAACAAAAATAGTTAGATTTCAGTTTGCCAAATATTTCATATTAACTAAATCTCCCATAAACATAAAAACAAATCAATTTATCAAATTAAAAAAGCCTTCAAACTAGACTGTTTAATCTCTGTAAGGTACAAGTACTGCCTTTTTGACCTATATACCTATATACCTATTCTGTTTACTTATTTAATTTTTTCAGTAATAATTCTATTTGTAAATAAGTATTTATTGTTAAAAATAAATACTTTTGATCCAAAAGAATAATTTTGAAAAATAATCTTCGGTTAACTTAACATATAGGAAAACATGCTGTTTTTAGTTTATTTATATAATAATTTTGTTGAATGTTATTATTACATGTAATCATATAATTATTAAATTGAATTATTAGATGTTGAATATGTTTACTTTTGTGCCATTTATGTACGTATTTCAATATGAATAAATTATATAATAATAAAGTAAAATTCTGCATTATTGAGTTTTTGCTTTGAAAAAATAACATCAATAGATTATGGAAACTATGATAAAAGGCAGTAATTTTTTTTTGCAGAGTATAAAAGCAGTAATGTTGCTGCTTTTATTTACACTAATTAAAGACGAAATGTCATTTATTTTAGGCATCAACAACAATTATGATCTGAAATCTCATTTAAATGACCAATTCGGCCAATTTAGAGATCCGGGAACAAACTCCAACTCATATAGAGTGATTGATTGATCATCCTACTTTATGAAAAAAAAAATTTGTGGACGTGTTTTGGAATTGTCAGCCCAATGAAACAACGAAAATTTTTTAAAAATACACTAAATCTACCGAACGCATTAGCAGATCTAAATTTGGAAGCCCTTTTTAATTCTCCGAACAATTTTACTTCGAATAGTCATATATTGCGAGGCTTAACGCTTTTTACGATAAAGAGAGTAGCGAGAAAATGGAAATGTTCTTGAACTTAGAACGCATCTCCTGAGCGTACAGCTCGACCTAAGTATTGAGATTTTTCAGTCCTTAGGCCTTATATTAGACATGATCCGCTGTCCAATATGATGAAAATGGCCAATTTTTGTCAGAAATTTTGAAAATTGAATCCAAGGCCTATTCGACCAAGTTAAAGGAGAGCTATAGAGGGATAGGTTGGTCAATTTTGAGTTCCTTGTACGGAATAAATTACGGGGTCTAATGCTTCCCAAAACGCTAAAATCCACATTTTTTACAAACACACAAACTTTGAGGGCGGCTCCAAACCGAGCGGTTCGACCTAGGATCCCGAAATTTCACAGAGCTTAATGCCTCCAGAGGTACTTTTCAGGAAAAAAATTAAGCTCGTTTCAAGATTATGTCCCACCAAGTCAGATCGAGGAATTTTAGTTTTGACCCATAAATTTATTTTAAGGGGTTTTATCAGATAATTTTTTATGTAAAAGTTTGAGGATGGAAATGCTATGGGCAAAGTGAAATAGGAAGATTTCCTCATGTGCCTTAATTCACGGAAAAATTCGGATTGCACCTAAAACATCAATTTAATTTTCTCCAAAAGAAAAACTCGACTAAAAATGTTTTAGACATACAGGAAAAGTTAGTGGCGAGGACAATATATTTAAGACAGTGAAGCCTTAGTTCTGCACCAGTGATCAAGCTTCCTGAAAGAATGAATATAAACTGCATATGTTGGCATCACTACATGTAGAAAATTGCGAGGTATTAGGGAGTTTTGACAATCAATGTTACTGTCACTCACTTGACATTTATTTCATTGACTTGAATATCAAGAAAGGCAAACGTTAACGGTAATACAACTCCCACTCCCTGTATCTCGGCTTGAGTGAATTTTGATTTCTATGCTTATAAATTAGTTTTCGTGTTATTTTTAATATAAGGTATGTCGCAGCCTTTGTATCATTTACCATGCATTGCATTTATTTCAAATGTCATTCACTGTAACTTTGTCCGGTGCCTTCTGTAATCTTCATCACTGAATCTTCAACGTGACACTCTATACTCAAATTTTCTCCTTTCGTCACGTATTTTGTCTCTTTCATAAAATAGCAGGTTTTCTTGTAATGGCTGCTATCCAAAGTAGAGAATTTGATTTTGTCAGAGTAATACATTTCGTACCAATAATACACTGCATTCACAAGGCCAGTATTTACGGCAGTGACAGACATTACTTTAACACCATCTTCCAATGTGAAAACGACGCGTTCCGTACGTTGCTCATAAACCAGATCTTCAATGTTGGGATGTTCATCTCCCTATATTGAAATAAAGAGTTTATTGTATAATGAGTTGGTTTCAAGATATCAAACACGCACTGATTCAGTGGCGCCGATAATATTCGCCAGCGGAACAGTCCACTATTGATTTCTCTATATATTTCATACTTCTCCATTTACCATTATGCTGACGACACGCAAATATATTATGGTTTCAATACTAATGGTGCGTTTCATTATTATAATTTGAAAAAAGTGATTGGAACCTTTGTATTTGGATTGATACACAATTATAGTTTTCTTTTCATGTGTAAGAAATATGCTCAAAATCATACAGTATTTTTAAATAACTATAATCTCAGCGACATTTACTGAACAGCAAATAAAAAATTCTATTATGCAAGGCACCAATAATTTCAGGAATAGGTTATTGCGGTACTGTCTACAGATCGAATTTACCTCAAAACGATGAATTTAGAGCCAGTTCAAAAATCTTGTTACCGTTTCTGCTTAGGTATCAAGAAATTTGCCACATTAGCCATGTTTATATAGAAAACAACAAATTAAATTTAGAACACCTTAAAACCTATAACATTTTGTCTTTGGTTCTTAAAATTTTAGTAAACTAAAAAAAATACACATATTAATAGCCTTACAATTAGGAAAAGCCAATCTTTGGATGTACTTCATCATTTTACATACAATTACCAATGAAATATCGTCATTATATTTCAAAAAATTTCCAAAAAAGATTTAAAGATATATCACTGAGTAATATTTCACCGTTCTCTGACTTCTCTATTCAATTTTTTTCCTAAATTATAGCGACATGAAACTACAAGCAATTTTAGTTTCATATTTGCATATTCGGTAATACACAGTATTTGTAACTGGAGTAACGAGGAGAAGCCTTCGCGATACTGACGCTTAGGCAACCAGAATTACGCAACCGTGTATGGAGCGCGATCGCGTGCGGGCGCGTTCGTGACGCCATCGCAAACCTTCGACACGCCTCAAGAAGTACAAATATATATCGCCATCTAGACGGATTCTACGAAATTCTATTTCGAACGAGAAGACACGTGCCTCTGGAACTCATTGAGTGTATTACAAATACCCGAACAGATGTCAGTTACAGTTGAGACAGTCAACAAGGAGAAATGCGATAATCCAGTCGACATGGTTATAAATAAGTCATACATTAGTTGCAAGTATTGTGTAAGCGTAATAACTTAGACTTTGTACAACAAAACACAAAGCCGTAGATTAGAATGGATATCAGTAAAAATAGCATTCTTTATCTAGAAAAATTTATCGGCCTCAAGCCCGTTACAACCTCCACCCCCAAACTTTATCCTCAACAAATTTTCAGAAATGATCTGTGAAACGTAAAAAAAACGAAGTTTGGCCGTTTTTTTTCGTTTTGGCCTTTTTCTCCGCCGCCACCTGTTTTCAAAAAGTACAAAGCGTTTTCGTCATTGGAAAGTAAAATCGTGATCTGGCAGTGTTGAGTGCAAAATTCTTACTAGGTACTACTCTGTCTTGACAGGCGTGACCGCACACCTACCACGTTTTGCTCTAATTAGCCTGAACCACTCCAACCCGCATTGACCTACCATAATTTGTGGTTTGCAGGCTCATAGATGGCACGCAGGAAACATGGCCGAATATAAACATTAGGACTACGGACGAACACGTGAGCAGATTTAGTACAAGTTGATGATTAATTTCGATACGAGAAAGGTACGAAGTCTGTAGATTAAGTGATGAGACTGGCAATGTAGCGTTCTATCTGGCAAAACTGGAGGCGCCGGGCTTGAAGGAGAGACAGGGGAACATGAGATCCGCCTTTAGTACAAGTTTAAGTTCGCTCGAGTCATTTGATTGTGGGTAGCGATTTTTTTCGTGAAACATTTTTTGCTATTCTGTTTTAAAAATGAGTAACATCAATTTCGGTGTGCTATCAGGTTTAGCTTCAGACTTGGGCACAGGGCAACGGAAACTCTTGCCAAACTTCAGCAGGCCTACAGAGATAACATTTTGTGAAGAGCCCAGGTTTTTCTGTGTTTTAAGGCATTAAGGCAATGAAAATGTCGACAGAATCCGGGATCGTGTGCATTCAGATCGACGGTTGACATAATGATCGGGGAAGAGTGAAATTTGAGTCATACCACCGTTCATTAGATCAAGGACAACTGGGTATTGCATAAAGATAATGCTCCTTGTCACAGAGCACTGTCAATAAACGAGTTTTTGGCCAGTAAAAAAATTCCCCCTCAGCCTCGTTATTCGCCTGACGTTAGTCTTTGCTACTTTTTTCTCTTCCAGGAGTTGATAAATCACCTTAAGGGAACTCCTTTTTTGACATTCGAAGTTATTTTGAGGGCAACAATATAAAATTGTAATTATATTTGGATAAATAAATTAAGAAACAATCAGTTCGTTAAGGGTCAACAAAGCGGGTGCCAACTCTGGGGCAATGTGGCCGGTACAAGACGTACAATGACAACGGTGCCACACAACCCCAAAATAGGCAAAACACACACACACACACACACACAAATAGTGCAAGTCACTGATAGCTAGTCGTAGTACGAATTTCGCAAATATTGCAACAATTCACAATATAAGGAATTGCCATATTACATTAAGAATCGGAGTTCCCTAATAACGGTATGGGGGCTTAGAAAAGGAACATAAACTTACCGAATACTGATTCATATGTTTTGCTGTCTTGAAACCCAACGTATTGGAATCATTAACCTTATTACAGCAATCAATGTATGGTGCATAAACCATCATGGCGACTGCTAAGGCAGTTACGGGGAGTACTATAGCGGGCTCCAATGAATCTGTACGGAAAAAGTTGCTTTCCAAGTATCCGTCAGTGTCGATAACGTCATGCAATATCAAACTGTTTGGTTTGACGAATTCTGGGTCAATGCATCTTGCGCCCTCAGGTAACATTACGAATCGTTCTGGTGATATGGAATTAACGCGAAGAATGTAATCAAAAAAGTCTTGATCGAGTTTATTTCTCATACTGTGGAACACTCGACAGCCATTTTTAGCTAAGAGAAATCCTACCAAGGGGAATGGGGTGAGGTCCATTACCTAAAAGGATAAAAGAATACAAGGTGTTTCTAAAACATGTGCCAAAGGGTTATTGTTCTAAACTATTTTATCATCTCCACTGAAAATTGATATTACTTGAACAACTTTGACGAGACAATATAATCTAACAAAATTTTGGTATCATAGTAACTAGCCGAGGCTTTACATTTAGACCAAGAATGGCGCTCTAACATAATATTGCCATCTTTTACACAAAAACGTACTCTTGTTTGATTCCGAAGGAATGGATCATTTTTGAGAAATAGTGGTGAGAATATATTAATTACTCAATGGTTATACTTACATCTAACTGCCTGTCTTTAAATAAATCTGCTACAGATATATAAGTATCCACAAGCTTTTGATCATTTAAAATGGTAACTATGTCCTTGGATACTTTGAAACAGTCATGAGTTGGTCCTTCATCTAAAGTTCTGACACTCAGTCTACAATCTTCCATGGAAACTTCCAAATTTAACATGTCTCCTGCCAAATTAAGGATAATCTTAATTAAGAGGCGGCATGAAGGCACATAGTGCAATAGTTGAAAAAAAATATCCCATACTGCCAATTTAGAAAAGCTTTCTAGTTTTCATTGGAATAGCGTTGAACTGTTGTTAAAAAATCCCATTGTAGGTTGAATTGTTAATTGTTTTGTCACTGCATGATGTCACTTGTTTGTCAAAATAATCCCTGAGACCTATTTGGTGACCGACGCTTTCATTTTGTTCCGTTCATTAATTATATAAAGCAAATCCGGATCACTCATAAAAAGTAAATATATGCACCCCTCCACTGGCAGCTGTGCCACAGATTTACCTGCACGGGATTTCGGCGGCACAGCATCAGAGTGTTCATGATTTAGAACAATGTTGTAAATTCGCAAGTCGTCGCGACGTCTTCAAAATCCGCTACATGGACATTTTGCAAAAATGAGATATGAGTGGAGTCTACCTAATAATCATATGCGTATTTATCATGCTAACAGCTGGTTTTAAACTTTAGGTCAATATTTGATATTGAAAAAATGAATTTTTGTAAATGAAAACCATAAATGCGTGACATTTTCATTGTTAATATATAGCATTGCTTACTTTTTAGAGTTGAGGGTACAAATTACGTACATACGATCAAATATAATCAGGTTAGTCCAAAATATATCAAACTGTTGCGAAATCGAAGGATCTGTGTCGTTTTTATCGTGCCCTATAAAATCAAACAAACTGCACATAGCGGATTTTGGAACAGCCAGGAAAAAATACTTTATTATAATACATTGCAATTTACCTTCTTTTAGATATTTGCTATGATCAATATATATAATTGCTTGTTCCCAACACTTGGCACAATTTTCATGATTGGGATTTGTAGTTATCCATGTATCTTCATCTAGATACAAGTCAAACCATATTACAAAAGCATGGACGACTCCTTCATTGCATTTTAGCTGAACCTGGAAAAATCCATTTGTAATTTTCCTGTTTACCTTTTTCTGAATGTCCGACATTTGAAAACAAAAGTAAATATTTGTTATTTAATGAGGACAAACGGTGAATCACACTGTATACTAGCAACAAAACAAGTGAATTGCCACCCAGACGACAACCAAAATATACAAGGTGTCCAAGATAAGGGTCCTATGTATAGGGATCTCAATACCTGTGGGAGATACAGCTTAGGTCAAATTAGGAAAAAGTTCCTTAGGGCCGTTGAGAAACCTGTAAACATTTCATGGCTTACTGAGACATCTAGAAATTTTAAAATTTGGCTACATCGTTTTTATTATATTGACTCCATTTCAAGAAATATCAAAAGACTAATCTAACGTTTTCATTGGCACTTTTTTGCTCTACATGACGTGTTTTTAAATTTTGTGCCCAACGTTTCGTTTTTCTACGACTTTAAAGATGAATCACATGTTACATCTGTTTTCTTAATTATTAAGAAAAATGTTTTTTTTTTATATTTTATCTTATTTATGTAGGCGTTGCAAACAAATGCTTGATGTAAGATTATGCGATTACTGATTAGAAGCACATTACGAGTATATAATGATATTCAGAATAACGAATATATTTTCAACATTACTTTTATTTTATTCACAATAGGTGTTCAAATAGGTTGCCATTATTTGCTAAACATAAATTGACCTCCTATCAGTGGAATTCAAAACAACACCATAACATTTCTGGTGTAATCCTATTAAATGCTTCTATTACACATTCTCGCAACTGCTGCTCAGTTTCAAAGGTATGTTGATAAACTTGGTTTTTGATACAACCACAAACAAAAAAGTCCAGAGGAGTTAAATGTGGGAACGCGCTGGCTAGGGGCTTGATTCTATATGAGTTTCGACCGTTGAAACTGATTTCGATGGCGCCTTGTGACGATATACTTGATTCGCTATGGTAATTTTGACATCTGATTATATTGATCTTCTATATTCAAATTTTATCATGGCAGTGTCAAAATTATCATAGCTAATCAAGTATATCGTCACAAGGCGCCATCGAAATCAATTTCAACGGTCGAAACTCACTTAGAATCAAGCCCCAGGTCACTTCACTGGAGCTTCCAATCCACCTTCCGGGATATGATGAGAAAGATACTCTCAAACTTGCCTAGAGTTACGTGCAGCACCATTCTGTTGAAACCAGCATCTATTAACCTGTGCCAAAGGTAAATTATCCAGGCAGTCTTCTAGATCATGTTGCAACAGTTGAAGGTACTGTTTGAAAATGGACTTTGTTGGCTGCCTTCTTTCGAGAAATTCAGAAACATACATTTCTGCAGTATTTCTGTAGCACATGTAGCATGTCCAATTTTTCTTCATTGCTGGAATGGCCGCCTGGCATCTTTGACGATAATAAAGCAATGTTAACAATACACAATGATAACAATACTCGGTTAAAGGTAATTACGTCAAACACTTGTTTGCAACGCCTAATTAAAAAAAATAAAAAACAAAAAACCAGAAAAAAACTAATTTTTCTTTATAACCAAGAAAATAAATGTAACCTGTAATACATCGTTGAATTCGTATAAAAAATATATTAGATACAGGGTGTACTGTTTTCCGACCATATAAAAAATAAAGTCGATGATAGTTTCTCAAAAACGAACCGTCGGACACAAAATTTAAAAATACCATCATGTAGTGACTAAAAAGGGCCAATGGAAAAGTTTTATTAGTTTCTTGATATTTCTTAAAATAAATTCAGAAAAAAAATAATTTGCCCAAATTTTAGTTTTTCCCAAATATCTCAGTAAGCCATGAGTTTCTTACAAGTTTCTCAACGGCATGTAAATATGCTCTTTTTCCTAATTTAACCTAAACTGTATCATCTCTCACAGGTACTGAAATCCTCATGCATAGGGTCCGTATTGTCACTGTCATCTGAAAAAGCCCACGAAGGTGGCTGAAACGTTAGTAAATCGTCAATCCTGCATATGTGGTTTCAACTGGCGGACAGTAAAGCATGAATATTCTTCATCGGCAACTACAGGATAAGTTACAGATGCTACATCAGTACAAACTGCATTTTTGCTGTCTACAATATTCGATTGTACCACTTTAGACTATGCATACTGGTATGCACATATACAGTTCAAATTATTTGGGAAACGTTATGATCTTTGTACTTTTTACCGTTCACCAAACAGTGATGCAGATACATTTTTAACGTTTTTTGAAGAAAAATGCGAAGAAATGTGGAATTTTAGAAACAATATAATACTTTTAGGTGATTTTAATTTAAATTATTATGGTAAAAGCATGAAAACAAGAAAATTGAAAGAAACCATAAACAACTATGGGTTCAAGCAAAAAATTGAAGAGAGTACCAGAATAACATCATTATCAGAGACTTTGTTAGATCTTGTTATTGTAAATTTCGAATGTGCACGGATTAAAGCTGTACATACACCTAAAGTTAGCGATCACAGTTGGACAATGCTGCCTTTGGTAGGGCATTTTTCTGATACAAAATTAAGAAAATCGTAAATACTATTAAGTACGAAAAACTTGAACGAGAACTTGCTGGCTGCTATTGGAATTTTGGTGAGAATATGGAAAAAATATATGACAACATAATAGGAAATATAAAAACTTGTTTAGATCTTGCAACTGATACAAAAGTGATTTGCTCGACAAAAAATACACCCTGGTATAACAAGAATATTAAGGCAGCTCAAATTTGAGAGACAAACAATACAATAAATGTATATTCACAAAATCAAATGATGATTGGGAGGTATATAAAACTCTTAGGAATAAATGTGTATATGTAATTAGAGAAGAAAAAAGAAAATTCTACGATAAACAAATCGATAATAACAAGTGCGACAGTGTAAAGATGAGGAAGACTTTAAAAAGACTGATCAATTCGAAGCCGCATGATTGTGTAAATCAAGTTCAATTCGAAAACGGTACCGGAACAAATTCTTTGGTGATTGCAAACAAACTAAATGAATATTTTGTGGAAAGTATTGTTGATATTGTAGGTACTGCCAATGCTGCACCTGACTATATGAAAATCAGTTTCCAGGGGGAAATGTTGCATATACTTTCAAAATTTCACAGCGTATCATTGAATTATCTAAGAAAAAAAGTATACAGTTTAAAATCAAATAACAACTGTGCCGAAATGACTACTAAAAACGTGCTGAAAAACTGTTTCGAAATTTTGGGATATCCTGTATTAAATTGGATCAATTGTTCACTGAGAAACAGTTCTTTCCCTAAAAATTTGAAATGCTCTACAATAACACCAGTTCCCAAAATAAAAATTCTAAAAGATGCAGCGATATGAGACCAGTAAATGTGTTACCAGACATTGAAAAATTATTAGAGTCCATAGTGCATGACCAATTAATGCAGTTTATAGAAGAAAACAAAATTTTATTGGAGGCGCAAGCAGGCTTTCGAAAAAAATATTCCACAGAAACAGCTTTCCAGTTGGTAACTGAGAATTGGAGAAGAGCCATAGACTCAGAAGAAGTTGTCATAGCAGTATTTTTGGATTTGAAGAGGGCATTTGAAACGATTGATAGAGATATTTTGTTAGGTAAATTGAAGGCATATGGTATAACAGGAAGTGTTTTAGATTGGTTTAGAAATTATTTGTCTAAAAGCATGCAAGTTACAAAAGTTAATGACACTATTTCATCAAAAATTGAAAATACGTTGGGTGTTCCACAGGGCAGAATCCTGGGACCACTTCTTTTTATTTTATACATAAATGATTTACCTGCCATAGTCAAAAAATGCAAAATTCAAATTTTCGCCGATGACACTATGATTTATATAAGTACTAAAAATATTCAGTCTGGTATCTCTTATATAAATGAAGACTTGAAGCTTGTCTCAAAATGGTTAACATCTAACAGACTAAAATTAAATGCAAGTAAAACGAAAGCCTTGTTAATCGGAAAAAAACAATGTACAAATGTTCAACTGAATATTGATGGTGAAGATATTGAATTCGTAGAAAATTTTAAATACCTGGGAGTTTTTGTTGACTCTCGATTAATTTTTTAATATTCATTATGAAAAAGTTATAAATAAGATTAGTAGTAAAGTGGGATATTTATCGAGAGTTTCTGGATGTCTGAGTTCATATAGCAGAAAAATTATCTATAATACCATCATTCGTCCAAATTTCTTGTACTGTTCGACTATTCTATATTTAGCAAATAATTCCATTTTTGAAAGACTGCAAATTTTACAAAATAAGTGCATGAGAATAATACTAAATAAAGATAAATATACTCCAATTAGGCAAATGCTTAGCAAATTAAAATGGCTCAATGTAAAAATTTTATCAAATATCTTGTAATGATATTCATTTATAAAGTAAAAAATAATATATTTCCATCAAGTCTAACTAATTTAACATCATCAAATGTCGACCATCATTTACATAATACCAGAAATAAAGATGACTTCCATTTAATGACCAAAAAGTATAACATATGCTACAAATCTGTATTCCATCAAGGGTTGATTGAATATAATAAATTATACTCGGAGATAAAAGACCAGAAAACTTTGACAAAATTTAAAGTAAAATTGAGAAATCACTTGTTAAATCTACAATATAGGTTGCCCAGCATTTACATCATACACCATATGGCTTGAATTTACTAGTTCTAAGTTGTTTACAATTGTTTCTGTTTTTTTTTTAAATCTTTCTACACTACTACTACTACTACTACTACTACAATAAGAAATCGATGGTGCCTATTAATTTGTGAAAACATTTTTTTGTGAACGGGCTCATTGCATGGCCTTAATAAAATGCACGAAAAGGTGTTAGAATATTTATGCAAACTAAAATATTACCTCGTGTTCATATTTGCTACTAAGAAGTTTGTTAATCTGCTCTTGATCTGAAAAATTCACTTCAAAAAGCACTTGGGTATCTGTGACAAACCTATAATTTCTTCCAGCAAGATACTCTCCCTCATATGGTTTCCATTCTAGTTGAGATACACATAAGTTATCCAAATGTAGTCGTTGCAAAGAAGGTTTTGGTAAATACTGATATTTTGAATACAATTGTAGACATGATATTCCTAAAAAAAAAGAAAAACAGTGGTTTGAGCAAAATGTTCCATTGTGGTCATTTAGTCGATTTTTTTATATTGAAGCAGCCAGGAAAGTCTAAATACTGGAGCACCGCGGCTGCTATAAGGAGCTTAACACCTCGTTAATCTGATTTTAGAACTGGATATACAGTCAGTGAAAACCAAAAGTTCGTCAATTTTGATCTGAAAAACAAATCTCTTAAAAATAAAACTATCCTCAAAATACTCCCTAAGGTCTTGTGGAGCAAGGATTCAACTTCAATCAAGATAGTTAGTGACCTCAAATATTAAATTTTTTAACCGAGTGTCTAAGCATTGAATATACCCCCACTATAACCCAGATCAAATACATTACGATGTGAATATGTTTGAAGAATTTTTTTAATGGAACTTTTTTTTGCCGGGACAATTTTTGTTTAGGTTCTTTGAATTATTCCGAACAATAGAGGCTTCTATTAACTTTTTCTGAAGCTGACCATTTTCCACTTATAGACGATTTAATGTCTGAAAAATTGGTATATTTAATGATTAAAAACTCGGTTAAAATTATAATTTTTGAGGTTGACAATTATCTAAATTAGAGTTTAGGCCTTGCTTTTCAAGACCCCGCAAAGAATTTGAGATTACTTCATTTTAAAGCGATTTTTAACCTTGTATGTCAAAATTTGCGAACTTTTGGTTTTGGAAGCTCGACACGATTAGGATGAGAGACCGAAGTCGGGCGGGTCTAACCGGTAAGCTCATCGCGTGGCAGCATCATGGTGGAGAACTCTGAGGAGCAAAGCTGTAGCAGAGCCAGATCGCCGACGACCCGTCGATGCGAAATGGTCCCGGGACTGTCCGTTACAGATGAGTCATCAACCAGTCGACTACTCTACTATGCACAGCATCGAGCAATGATAACGTACTCGGGAGGCAGCATCCCAAACATGAGAGCAGTACTCAAGGCTAAGCCTTATCTGAGCCTTGTACAGATCATCTCGTGCCAGGTCAAGTCCTCGGTGATTTGGATCCCGATCATCATCATTTCATCCATCGAAACCGGATGAACGCTAAGACGCTTCTTGTTGGACAAGTTACAGTACTGTGTTTTGGAAGCATTAAACCAGACTGTTGCGTGCGGCCAGAGGGGGGGGGGTAGGGTGCAAGTTTGCATAAGAGTGTAGCATACCACAGCTGATCGAAAGTACCGGTAAGATATCTTGAAAATATGAAAAAGAATTGGAGCAAGCTCTGTTGAATGTCTCTTCAGTACAACAGCAGGAATCAAGTCCGAACCAGAAGCTTTATTGATGTTGAGCGACAAGAGCACTCGTGTTGCGGCCTTCTGCCTGAAGGTTACTTCCCGCATAGTATAAAGGGAATCCTTTGAATTGACGGCAGTCGGGCATCGGAGAGGAGGGGAGGCGTTCATGGTGGAGTTGACAGCAAAGATCTTGGCAGCCATTTCGGCCTTAGCCTTTGAGTCGGTTACAATCGTTTCATCTTGGCACATATGCGGTGGAGGCTACTCTTTGAGAAGTTCCATTCGAACTGCTTGGTCAGCGTGCAGAAAGACAGACTGCCATTGCGCTGCGACATTACCCTGTGCCGGCAGTGGTTATTGACATCACCCTACCTCTGAAGCAGGGTGACTGATGTTCAAGAAGTCGATCATGACAGCGAGTTATTCGAGTAGTCCATCCCGGTATGGTCCGAGGGACAGCGATAGAGCTAGCAAACAAATTGGGGGATGAACCTCTGAGATGGAAGTGAGTTTATGTCCGGAATTTTCAGTATTCGAAGGATCCAAGATCATCTTTTGTTGAGAAAGTGAAGGGCCAAAGGAAGGAAACCGACTGCATAACTTAAGTGTAGAAACATGCGGATAATTTTAAGATACTCTGTAAAAAGCTTTCGGGTGGTACCCCCTCAGTCGATGAGTCCTTACCTACTACCTTCTTTTGTTTGTAAACGTTGTTAAACAGACCTAAAGTGTTCCGTTGGCGGACTTGCACAGCCACCCGGCAATTGGAACTAACCTATTCCTTAACGCACATGCAATCACTTGAATGCGAAGATGTTTACTGAGTGCAACAACTTTTCGAACAAGCATTTGCCATGGCAGCGCTCAGTATGGGATGAGATTAGGAACAATTTGACTTTCAACTTTCTTTTGATCTGACACGTGACAGCAAAGTATCAGCACCTTTGCCAGGCCTCAGTTGGCCCCTCATGACACTGACTTCATCATAGAGAGCATGGCTATATTTCACTATTAGTCCAATGATGCTTCCCTTCTTGTCGGACGCATGAGTGGCGATCCATTCAGTTCCCCTGATATATATAACTTGAGACGTGGTCATTGTCGTCTAGACCAGTTAGGTGAAAAATTAAAGCTTCCGCTTTTTGTTGGGTACTTCGACAAAATTTAAGCAAAGAGGACTCTTTATACTTTTTTAATTCTCTCTAGCTTTTAATGGACTTTGCCATCATCATCAGGAGAGTAGTATGTGAGGATGTTGCTAATTGTTGTTTTCGTATAGGATGAGGGAAACGTCCAGTAATATGGTGAGAGCTGGATACATGGTACAATGGTTAAAATTAAATTAAATTAAAATTAATTAAATTCTTGTCATATTTTATATAATTTTAACCATTGTACTTTGCTTAAATTTTGTCGAAGTACCCAACAAAAAGCGGAAGCTTTAATTTTTCACCTATATATATATATATATCGGGTGTTTAGCAAATTCGATCCTCACAATCGGGAATTCGGAAACTGTATGAGATACGAAGTCTCTTAAATGGGGGCAAAGTTCCTTGTTTAGGTAATCAGCAAAATGCCGCTTAGAAAGTTTCGAAATTCGAAGTACTTCCGGAGAGAGCGGAAAAAAACGAATTTTCCAAAAATTGTTTCAATTGTTTCCTGACTGCAGTGGAATTTCAAATTAAATTGCACCTAACATTGCCACTTTTTCTCCTCTATAAGATGGAATAATTAAATTTCCAATATGACGTTTCTTATAGAGTTTTTAATTCTGTTGGCAAAAATGTTAATATCTGGTATAGTCTAATCATATTAAATGAAAATACCGCTGGTTTGCGAAATAATTGTAATGTCTGGTTTTACTGCTGCAAGTTGTTGGATACATCAATTTTTGTGGAAAAACTTTTTATTGGACAACAAATAATGAGAAGAGAAGAGCGTATTTTTGGGATTCAATCGAATGTGTTGGCAGGAACGAAAAAAACTCTTCAAATATGATTTTCAGGTATTTATGAGACCTACAAAATGAGACCACACGTAAAAAGATCCGACTAAGTGCAAAAAAGTTATGGCCGAAAATCGAGGCAAAATGCAGGTTTTGACACTTGTTCGTAGGCTTCATACTTTTAAATAACCACAACAAAGTTGGAGTAGATTGATCAAGTATTTTTTGAGAATTTCTGATTGTTTATCCCAAAACACCTGTTTTCCGGCCATCACTACTAGTTTGTTGAGCAATATACAGGGTTCGTTCAAACGGCATTTTATAGCAAAATACATACCTTTCCTATATGAATCACAAACCTTTTTGGAAGATAAATGTTATTTTTATGCGAAAAAGAGTCAAGTTTTTTTCTTCCAAACAAGTTCAAAGATATCTTGTTTGAAAACAAATCGGCACGGGTATCATGTAAAAAACCTACAAAACGTCAAAAAAACCTATAAGATGTCAACTTGTAGACTAGGTAGTTTTTAGGGCGCAAATAGTCATTCCACGTTTGCTCACTAGGATCGTTGTGAACGTCCATCTATGGAGGAATCATTCAACTAAACTACACGCATTATTGGTTGCATGGTTTCAATAAAAATTGTTTAGAATCAATTTTCTCCATACAATGATTTTGTTACATGACACCTTTATCCACTTGCGTCTTCAATTATGTTTCAAACTCTAGCCTAGTTAGTATGTAGCGTGTGCTTAATAGCTACATTACTCATTACTGCTTGACTTTGTCATATAATCAGGTCACGAAATCCAGTTACTTTACGAAAAAATATAATTCCCTAGATCTTTTTCCTAAAAGTATTATGTAATATAGTACACGGTTGTTTTCGAAATCTCGTACGATTTAAACGACTGCGAGTTCAAAATGTCGGAGAATAACTCGAGAAAACGAAAAAACAGTAGACAAGTATCAACCAATTATAGCGAACTGACCGTCTTAAAAATTAGGTAAAATGCTCGTTATTAGTCCCTAATGCATTATTTAAAGATTCAGCATTGTATCATGTTTAGTTTTCAAGAGTACTGTAATTCTTTATAACTGATTTGATATGCCTCCAACGTTCGCTTGAGATTTGTCAGTGTCAAGAATAGTGGATAAGGATCCAGTAAACCAAGAGGCGTCGTAGCGTAATGGGAAGGGTTACTGGTTGCAGAACAGGCGGAACGGAGTTCGAATCCACGAAGCTCGTTTTTTCTCTATTATTTTTTTATTTGGAGAAATAAACTGGAGAAAACGAAAAAAAAGTAGACAAAAGGACGGAGGTTCGAATCCAAAAAGCTCATTTTTTCTATTAATTAATTTCAAGTTCGGCTAAATAAATGCTTTTTCACATTATGTGTACTTTTACTATGATCAAACAGCTTTTCGCACGCCACACATAATGTAATGTAGCTATCTAGCACATGCTACATACTAACTACGATTAAGACAGTTTGACACATAATTGTGTGTTCAGTTTGCTTGATAACTTTATAAACAGTTCAGTGCATTTCAGTATGAAATAATTTTTTATAAACTTTAAGGGTCATCTGTGACAGTGTAAAAATTTCAGCTCTGAATATGTATATGTTACCGGCAATCTGTATAATACGGTATTCTATAGAATTCCTAAAACGTGTAGGTAATGTATGAACTATTATTTGTCTTATACTTTGCCTAGGTATTCTATACAATATCGAATGCACAGTCGGTAATGTATGTAAAAGACGAGAGGAAGGAACGGGTTGTACGTACC